AGCACAAGCCCCTTGCCCCAAGTTGAGAGAAGATGTTCTAAGTGTCATGGCAGTGTTCACTGAGAAAATCCAAATTCCCATCTCTAGAGCTCTGTAAGAGGGGAGGAAGGTGGTGAGTGTTTGTGAGACCTGCCTCGAGGAGTGTATCCTGGAATGCAGCAGGGTCTGACACATATTCATGGATGAGTGACTGGGTTGGATCGACTTTTTTCTTCCCAGGTGTGGCCCCTGGAGCCAGACTCTGTTAGGACCAGTTTCTGCCCTTTCCGGGAAGGTGAGTGGATCTCCTGTGGCAAGGGGTTGGCTGCATAGGAAGGCTGATTCATGTTTAGTAACCCCGACTCTTTTCTCTAGATCCCCGTGCACACCGGAACCTTTGGCACATAGCCAGGCTGCAGATGCTGTCCCCAGGGAGATGGCAGCTAAATGCACCATGCTCTCTGCCGGCCAAGGTGGCACTCTGCTGGCAGGCACCAGACCAGGTTCCCTGCCAGCCCCTTGTGCCACCAATGCTCCAGGAGAATGTCACTGTGAATGTGAGGTCAAAGGCAGACCCAGGATGGAGAGAGAAAGGGGGACCCCAGGTTTTCCCTTTGCGACTTCACTTATTTCCTGCCTTCCACAGAAGCCTCATGAGTTCCCGTCGGTGAGAGGCCACCCCAACCTCTGTGTCCAGGTCAGAATGGTGATCAAAAGCATTGGGCTGAGGGTGGGACCCTGCACCAATTCTTTTCCCCAAACTACAGCGTCCACAGGTACTCCTTGGAACTCATGCCCCCCGTCACACACATCATACACAGACACACTAATAATAAAAATAATTTTTAGGTTAAAAAATAAAAGCATTCATTCAAGATTTAGCTGGGCAAGGTGGCTCATGCCTATATTCCTAGCCCTTGGGAGACAGTTCGAGGCCACCCTGGCCTGAGCTGTAGTGAATGACAGGCCAGCCTAGGTTAAAGATCGAGACCGTTTCAAAACAAAACAGATTGGTTGACTATCTACTACGTGCCAGCCACTTTGAGACAGCTGTCAGTGAACAAAACCAAGAGCTGTTCCTCTCGTCACAGAACCTGCTCCTAAGGAAGGAAGGTGAACAGCACATATAACAAGTGAAACTCGTGCTGTGGTAAAGGTGAAGGCGTGGGGAAGGGCAGAGACTGTGATTTTCAGTGGGTGGCTGGCTGAGGCCAAGAATGAGTCTCCTCTGAGGTGGCCTGTAAGGGCGACCGGTTGTAAGTGCTTCAAGACCCAGAGAGCTGCAGGGTTGTAAGCTCCGTCAGCACAGGTCTTCTCTCAAGGCCTGCTCTGAGACAGATGGGTGACTCCCAATCCTGCAGCTGAACCCAGATGTGCCTAACCTCAGGTCCAGAGTGCAGAGCCGGCCTGACGGGCTTCCTCTTGCCTGCTCCTTCCCTTGTGGACTTTCCGGCCCTGGCTCTTGCTTTTCCTAGTGCTCCTAATTCTGGCCCTTTCTAAGCAGGTGAGCAGCTTGGAGAAGGTACAGTTCCAAGAATGCTTGTGGGCTGGTGAGTGGGGCTTGAGGGTGGCTGGGACAGGGTCCCTTGCAATTGGGGTGAGCCATGGAGAAACTGCTTCTGGGGGTGAAGGTCAGGGGATGGGCGGAAGACAAGTGGCAACTCCTGAGTGGGTCTTACTAGAGTGGCCTTTCCCTCCTCCCAGATTCTTTGGGGCCCTTCAAGGACGATATGCTATTAGTGGAGATGAGAACCGGACTAAATGACACATCAGTCTGTGCCTTGGAACCCAGTGGCTGTACAGCATTGCCTAGCAACGCTTCCACGGTGAGGACCAGGGAATCTCCCTCCAGGCCTTCCCGGCTCCATCTCAACTGTGTCTTCATATTCTCCTTCTATCCCATTACCTTCTATTCTGCTACTGCTCTGCCAGGCCCAGTACAGCTCTCTTGGAATAGTGTGTGTGTGTGTGTGTGTGTGTGTGTGCGCGCGCGCGTGCTCCCCCAATGGCTTCCCAAGTCTCCCAGCGTCTCTCGACAAACAATTCTGCTCCACTGCAGCACCTTCCATGCTGCCCCAGGTGACAGCCCCCCTTCCCTTGACTTGCAGAGAGCTGCTCGCCTTGGAGAGCAGTTGCTGCAAGACTTCCTGACACACCAGTGCATGCAGGTGAGTTGGTGATATAGCGTGTCTTGGTGCCTACAGGCAAGATCCTTCAAACCTGCACTGGCCGACCTGTTCCGCTTGCTTTGTGTCTAGCCCTGGGTCGGTAAAGAGCAGGAGCGTATAGTTCCTGTCCCCCAGGTGCTCACTTCTGGCTAGAGACTGGCTAAGTGATACACACCCCCAGTGTTAGGGTCTAGAAAGAGCTTTAAGGAAGACCGCCTTTGAGGAAGGCCCCACTTGGCACAGAACTCAGCTTAGGCACAGTTTGAGCAAAAGCAGGAGCCTGCTCTGGGCAGGGAAGTATGCAGAGCCGAGGGTAGGAGATTGAACAGGCTGGGCAGAAATTATTAGGTGTTGAACAGCAGGGGCCTGTGGTTGTGTCTTTGTTTTTGAGACAGGGTTTCTCTGTGTAACAGTCCTGGAACTCGCTTGGCCTCAAACTCACAGAGATCCCCCTACCTCTGCCTCCCAAGTGTGGGATTAAAGGCGTGCGCCAGCAGCACTGGCCTGTGGTTGTGTCTTGCAGCTGTGGAAGGAGGATGACCTGGGAGCGCTATGGGCCTGCCCCATGGACAAGTGTGAGTATACCAGGAACTGCTCTTCCTGGGTAGGGAGCTGACTCTGACGACAGGGACTACAGCAATGGCTGCGATGCTTTGCCTGGCTCAAAAACATCACAGCTACATTCCTTTATCCATTCCAAAACCACAGAGGCAGAAAGATGGTTCAGTTGGCAAAGCCACTTGCCACCAAGCCTGACAACCTGAGCTCCCTGGGAGCCAGATGAACTTGACTGCCTAGAGTTGTCCTCTGACCTCCACACACGCTCCGTGGTGTGTGGAGAAAGAGACACACAGAGACACATAGAGACCCAGAACACACTTTCAGAGATCCCAGCATTACCAAAAAGGCAGAACCTGCCCTTGCCAACGCAAGTCTAAAAGAGCCCAGTCGAGAACATCCAAGAAGTATGAACTGTTGAATGTTTGCAGGTGTGATCTTGTAACAGTGCTAAGTAACGAAGCACGAAGCAGTGGAAAGGGTTGGGGTGTGTGTGTGTGTGTGTGTGTGTGTGTGTGAATGAGCGGAGTGGCTGCCTGACCTAGGTGGGATGAAAGGTTCAGGGGAAAGGTCCCAGCCTCACTGTGAGGTCTGACCTAGGTAAAGGGAGTCAAGCTACATTTTTAAGACTGTGCAGAACATGTCTGAGTTTCCAAGGCAGTCGGTGTGGTTAGAGTCTTGGGAGGAAGATGGGAGGCTCATGAGAGATGTGGGATTTTATGTTTCCAGCAACACCAGCTTCCTCAAGGGTTAGAATAAAGCTGTTTCAAACAGATCTCGGTGGATACCCACAGAGTGAACGACTGAATCAGAAAAGAGGGGAGGGCTAGTCAGAAGGCTATTGGTCATGGCAAGACAACAAGGTTAAGGGCCTGCAACCCTACACTTAAGGGGCACTATCAGCTGACATTTAAGCATTTACGAGGCCTGACACTGTTCTGTATTTTACATGTAACCCTATGCACTTAGTACCGTTATCCCAAATTTACAAGCTTGAAAACTGAAGCAGGTCACACAGATATAGATGGAGCTTTTTCAGTGCACAAGCTCTGACACTGTGACTTTGGGGCAAAGTACTCCAAGTCTACTACGGGCCTCAGTTTTCCTCCTCTGTGAAACGGAGCGAAAGGTGTAAGGTTTCTAACTAGCCCATTCTTCCTTGTCTATCCCAGACATCCATAAGCGCTGGGTCCTGGTGTGGCTGGTCTGCCTACTCTTGGTCGCTGTACTTTTCTTCTCTCTCCTTCTAAAAAAGGATCGTGTGAAAGGTGAGCGCCTCCCTGTCCGGGTTTCCAAGGGACAGCCTCAAAGGGTGACTCTGGGCTCCAGTGGATGGAGGGAAGACAGGTCCGGGCTCACCCACTCGGGCTGGCTCTCCCGACAGCTGCCCCCAGGGCCCGCACAACCTTACTCCTCCACTCTGCCGAGGGAGAGGGCCATGAGCGTTTGGTGGGCGCGCTGGCGTCTGCGTTGAGCCAGCTGCCGCTGCGCGTGGCCGTGGACCTGTGGAGCCGCCGCGAGCTGAGCGCGCACGGGGCTCTGGCCTGGTTCCACGAGCAGCGGCGCCGGACCCTGCAGGAGGATGGCGTGGTGGTCCTCCTCTTCTCGCCAGCGGCGGTGGCGCAGTGCCAGCAGTGGCTCCAACACGAGACTGTGGGACCGGGACCGCATGACACCCTCGCCTCCTGGCTCAGCTGCGTGTTGCCCGACTTCCTGCAAGGCCGGGCGGCCGGCCGCTACGTCGGGGTCTACTTTGACGGGTTGCTGCACCCCGATGCCGTACCCGCCCCTTTCCGCGCCGCGCCGCTCTTCTCCTTGCCTTCGCAGCTGCCCGGCTTCCTGGACGTCCTGCAGGGAGGCTGCTCCCGGAGCACCGGGCGGCCCACGGACAGGGTGGAGCGAGTGGCCCAGGCTCTGCGGGCCGCCCTGGACAGCTGCAACCTGCAATCGGGAGCCCCCGGGAGCTGCGGCGAGGCATGGGACCCGGGACCCTACCCTGCACTCAAATAAAGACCAACACAGTTGACCTGAGTCGCCCTCGTCGTGTGTATGTCCTACTAAACCACTGAGAGCCTTTAACCCGCGGTCCTTTAAAACCGGGACAGGTGCAGCCCGGCGCCGCTTCTGGTTGGTTAGCATGGGATGACGCAATGTCACATGGCCATCCTTCATTGGCTGTGAGGAGGCTCCGCCCTCCTAGCTGCGGCATTGGAGAAGGGTGTATTTTTACAGGGGGCGGTGGCGTTAAGGAGACTCGGCCCACAACTCCCGGGGCGGGGGCGGGGACTTTTTTTTTCTCCTTGTAGTCTAGCGGGGTCTGGATCCTTCCCGTCCTGTTCCAGGCCGTCTCTGTGTCTTCCAAAGAGGCTCGGAACTTGACCCCTTCTCTTCACATCCGGATCCGGGCTCCTCCCCCAGGACCGCCCATCCGGCTTTCTCTCGGAATATTTGGAATCTGAACCTTTCTAATTCTGACCCGTAATAACTCACTGAGACCCTAAAACCATGGGCTGACGCCTTCTCCTTTTCCAGCGATCCCTGCCACCTCCCCCTACGGTAACGGAGACATAATTTCTCTCCTGGAGTTATAGATTAGGCTTCTTTCCTCTCCCAGCGTCTCAGCCTCCAGTACCCCAATTCGTCCTCGTTTGTAATTACGTAGGTCTGGGGCTTTCAGCCTCAAGGCACCTCGGAAACAAGCCCTCGCTTTCCTCCTTACAGCCTGGCTTCTCCAGTGACCCCTTTCTTTACCCTAAATCTGCACATCCCCCGCCTGGGAAAAGATGGCCCCACAACCCCTATGGGGCCTGGTCCCATCTCTGCTCTGGGGCCTGAGCCTGTTTCTGAGCCTCCCGGGATCTGTCTGGCTCCAGCCCTCTCCACCTCCCCACTCTTCTCCCCGAGCTGAGCCCCATCCATGTCATACCTGCCGAGCACTGGTGGACAGCTTCAACAAGGTGGGTGCACTAATAGCCTCGTGGGAGAGGCCCTTTCGCAGAGAGCCGGGTATGGGTTGCTTGCTTTAGCTGTATGGTCTTTGGGAAACAGTGCCTCAGTTTCCTGATCAATAACGTAAACTAGTGAAATGTTAGAAAGTTAAGCCGGGCGTGGTGGCACAGGCTTTTAGTCCCAGCACTCGGGAGGCAGAGGCAGGTGGATCTCTGAATTCGAGGCCAGCCTGGTTTACAGAGCGAGTTCCAGGACAGAAACCCTGCCTCAGAAAAACAAAAAACAAAAAGGATTCATCAGGCCCTGTACTTAGGTATTCCTAATTTCTTCCCTATCCAGGGCCTAGAGAGAACCATCCGGGACAACTTTGGTGGTGGAAACACTGCCTGGGAGGAAGAGAAGTTGTCCAAATACAAAGACAGGTAAGAAGGTGGTGGGGCGGTACATACCCCAAACTCTTGGACTCTGTTGATTGGTTGGAACAGATTCTCTTGGGAAGCTTTCATTCCGCAGATATGGAAATTAACAGGACACAGTAAATGAGGAAACGAAGCCCATCTTTGTGAAACTTGCATTTTAGTAGGAGACAAACAGTGCATACTATCTGTCAGGTGAAGAACAGGAATTTGGGTAGACCGCAGGTGGGTGGGAGGTGTTCAGGATGGTTGGTTTGAACAACCATCCTGAACCATGCTGAAGTCGCAGGGCCAACCTTATGTTTCTTCTCAAAGGAGCAGAGTGAGCGAAAGGCTACAGAAAGGAGTTCAGATTTTGTCCTGAACGTGAAGCCTGAAGAGGACATTGGGTTTCCTGAACCTGGGATTACAGGCGATTTTTAGCCACCACGTTGATGCTGGGAGCTGAACCCAGGTCCTCTGCAAGAGCAGCCAATGTTCCTAACTGCTGAGCCGTCTTTCCAGCCTTTGGAAAGATGAAGAGATAGATCACTGACAGGAAGCCAGGGCAGAGTGGAGGGAGTGGGGAGAGCAGCTGGGGTGGGGTGGGGCGGGGCAGGTAAACCATGGTAGCACAGGGAATCAGGAGAGCAGCTGGGGTGGGGCGGGTGGGGCGGGGTGGGGCGGGTAAGCTTCTGCAGTCTAGGAATAAAGGCAGCGTGAGCTAGCAAGACGTCCAGTAGTGGACACAGTGAGAACTTGAAGTCTGAGCACATTTTGGAGATCATCGGTTGACATGATGGGCTCCTTAGGGAACTATGTCAGACCTTTTAAATACATGACATAATACATGTTTATTTATTTCTCATTCTTTTTTAAGAATTTAGTATAATTAATTTTGTTATGTTTACATGTTTGTGTGTGTTCACATGTGCACAGGATATTAACTCCAACTGTCCATTTTATTTACTTTGATTATTTTCTGTATTTGAATGTTTTGCCTGCGTGTCTGTATCCACATGCATACAGTGCCTATGAAAGCCAGAAGGAAGTGTCAGATCCCCTGGAACTGGAGTTATAGGAAGTTGTGAGCTACCATGTGGGTGCTGGGAGTTCAACCTGGGTTCTGTGGAAGAGCAGCCAGTGCTCTGAACTGCTGAGCTCTCTCCATTACCTCATATTATTATCGTTGTCATTATGATTATTTTTTGAGCAGGCCATGACTGTCCTGGAACTTGATCTATATACCATACTGGTTTCGAACTTAGAGATGCAGAGTGCTGGAACTAAAGGCATGCGCCACCACGCCCAGCTGTCCCACCTTATTTTTTGAAACAGGTTCTCTCACTGAACCTGGAGCTCACTAACTTGGTTATTCTGCTGGATTGGAGACAGGGATCTGCCTGTCTCTGACCCCTCCCCACCCTGTGCTGGGGTGACGGACATCACACCACACTTGGCTTTTACATGGGGCTGGGAGTCTAAAATCAGGTTCTCATGCTTCTTCGGGAGTCACTTTACCCAGTAAGTCGTCTCTCCAGGCCCCAAGTCATATTTTACATAAAAAAAATTCTGTTTTGTGATATGATTTCATGTAGATCAGGCAACCCTCCGGCTTACCGCATAGTTGAAGATGACCTTGAACTCCTGATCTTTGTGGCTCTTCCTCCTAAGCGATGGGATTACAAGCGTGAGCCATGAGCCACCATACCTGGTTTATATATTAATTTTTTAAATTGTAAAATACACATAAAAGAACTTACCGGCTGGGAATGTAGCCAAGTTGTCAGAGTGCTTGTCTCGTGCACAGTTCCTTCCCCAGCACCCGAGAAAACCAGGCGTGGTAGTGCACGCCTGTAATTCTAGCGGTGGGGAGCTGGAAGCGCGAGGTTAAGGGAGTGCCCAGCTACAGAACAAGTTCAAGGCCAGTCTAAACAAAACATAACAGGCACACCAAGTACCTTCTTACTGCTAAATAACTACCACTGTCTACTTCCAGAATTTTCTCCCTTTTAATTTGGTTTTTGTTGTGACCTGGTTTCTCTATACAGTTCAGACTGGCCTCTAACTCACTGACTCCTGTCTTAACCCCCAGAGTGCTGGATTGCAGGTATATGCCACCACGTTTGGCTTTAAAACATATTCATCACCCCAAAAGAAATCTTCTACCCACTAAGGAGCTCTTCCTCACCCTCCCTTCCCTCGGGCTCCTGGCAGCTGCTGATATGCTCTCACCGTGCGGAAACCTGTGTGGGTTTTCTGATTCCTGTGAAGCCCTACATCATGTGGCCTTTTATGTCTGGCTCCTTTCACTTAGCGTAATGTTTCCGTAGCTCCCTAATTGTGTGATATGTGCGGCATATCCTTCATTCCTTTTAGGGCTGGATAATATCCCGCTGAGTGGACATGCTGCATTTTCTTTGGCTAATGGGCAGTTGGGTTGTTGTCTACGTTTTGCCCGCTATGAGTGTTGCGGCTGTGAGCATGTGTGTACAAGTTTGTATTGGAACACCTGTCGTCCATTCTTTTGGGTATGCGCCCGGAGGAGGATTGCTGAGTCATGGTGGCTCCATTTCATTGATTGCACCATCTTGCATTCCCACTCGCGGTGCAGAAGGGGTTCATTTTCTCTACATCCTTGCCAGTGCTTGGTAGATCATATGTTTGCAGGAGGGGTGGGGGTCTTCTCTGTCTCACTTTCGAGTTGCCCTTTCCAGCCTCATGGTGTAATTTTAATGCTGTTTTTCCAGCACGGCTCTCCTAGGCCAGATTCAGGAGCTGAAGACTCAGGATTTACCTGCAGCGGTGTTATTGTTCTATTTGACAGATTGAAAAAAAAGAAAAGAAGTGTGTCCAACATGGTGGTGGGATGTAGGAGGCAGGAGAGTTCTAGGCCATCCTGGGTGACATAGTGAAAGCCTGGTAAAACTGTGGGGGCCAGAGGTGAGAAACGAAAACAAGAAAGGCTTAATGACTTGCCCAAATCCTGCCTCTAGCTCCTGACCTAGGCCTGTCTGATCCCAGAGCCAATAGCCCTTCTGTTAGTAATGCCCCATGGCCCCATGGATATCCAGTGGGAAGGAAGGTAAAGAGAGACCCGAGACGCAGGTGGGTGGGCTGGAATATGCTCATAACACTCCAGTCCTGTCTGGTCAGCGAAACCCGCCTGGTGGAGGTGCTGGAGGACGTGTGCAGCAAGTCAGACTTCGAGTGCCATCGCCTGCTGGAGCTCAGCGAGGAGCTGGTGGAAGCCTGGTGGTTTCACAAGTGAGAGGCGTGGGGGGCTTCCCTCGGGTGGGCCTGGTGGTTTCACAAGTGAGAGGCGTGGGGGGGGGCTTCCCGCTGGTGGGCCTGGTGCTTTCACAAGTGAGAGGCGTGGGGGGGGCTTCCCACTGGTGGGCCTGGTGCTTTCACAGGGGAGGGGAGCCTTTCTTTGGAGTGGGTTACAGGCGGGCCCTGATGATATGGTTTTTACTGCCAAGAAATGGTTGCACGCCAGCCTTGTTTGGAGCCTTCCAAACCTAGATCTAAGGACTTGCTGTGGGTACCAGGCTCCCATTCTGGGCCTATTTACCCCTCTGCCAAGTGGAAAAGGGGCCTTAGTCAAGTGGTTTCTGGGACACATGCCCAGGCTGAGTTACAGATTAGGTAAGGGGCAGAAGAACACTGTCTCAGCACCCGCTCTCCCTTTCACCTCATCTGCCCCGTCTTAGGCAGCAAGAAGCTCCAGACCTCTTCCAGTGGCTCTGTTCGGATTCCCTGAAGCTCTGCTGCCCCTCTGGCACTTTTGGGCCCTCCTGCCTGCGTGAGTCCTCCTTGGAAGTGGGAGGAGACTGCTGAGGCCCTGGAGCCAGGCTAGGCTGTGTGAGAGCAGGGTTACTCAGGTGGCATCTCCAGTCCTGTGCTCTGGCCTGTCTCTCAGGCCTGAAGTGAACACATCAGTAGGTCAGGCTGGGAAAAGAAGCACAGGGCTAGCCTGGTGCAATGTTACTGTTATCAGCTATTAAATAAAAGTTACCCCACCCCTGCGTCCTTCATTCTCCCCTCTAGTCAGACCGTACCTAGGGAGGGGCAGACACACGCCCTGAAGCCTCCATTATTGCTGTCTGTCCACCTCTTCAGACGCAAGGCAAGAGCTGAACTTAGTCTAGTTCTGTCTTAATTAACTTATTTATTATTGGTTTTGTTTTTGTTTGAGGTGGCAGGGTTGCATCTGTGAGCCCAGGCTTTGAACTTGTATAATCTGGACTGAGCCTTCTGGGTGCTGGAATTGCAGGTGCATGCCATCATGCCAGGCCCCTAGCTCTTTTTAGAATTACTTTTCCTGTAAACAAGGAAAAGGGTCTGGCATTGGAACGATCAGTTCAGCCTTTAGAAAAGATTCATAAGATATGGTGGTGCATGCCTGTCATGCTAGCACTCAAGAAGCTGAGGCAGGAGGATGTTCAAAGTCTATTCAGATAAATTATCTGGTCTTCCTGAAGAGTATCGCAAACATAAACAAACACTGTGTGTATGTATGAAGGAAGGAGAATTGAGTTTGTGGCTGCCCTGGTCTATATAGTGAGTTCCAGACCAGCTAAGGCTATATAAATAAGACCTCTCAAAAAAGAAAAAAAAAACAAAAAAACAAAACTAAGTAGTTAAATAAAATAAGTGAAAAGTTTGCTTAATTGTTTTGCAATAGGCTATTTCATATAGCTTTATGACAGACTATGTGAATATTAAACTTAATCTTCCTTTCCAAAAATTATTTAGGACCATACAGAAAATAACCTCTTGGATGACAAAGTTGCATATAAGATCTCACCCAATTGATGTCTGCCCACAGCATGTCCTGGGGGCACAGAGAGGCCCTGCGGTGGCTACGGGCAGTGTGAAGGGGAAGGGACTCGAGGGGGCAGCGGGCACTGTGACTGTCAAGTCGGCTATGGGGGCGAGGCCTGTGGCCAGTGTGGCCTTGGCTACTTTGAGGCGGAGCGCAACAGCAGCCATCTGGTATGTTCGGGTAGGTAGCCAAAAGGTGTGGTGCGGGGCAGGGATAGCCAGAATACCTGCCTGCCCATCCTCATACTGTCTGCTTTTTACCCAGCATGTTTTGGTCCCTGTGCCCGCTGCACAGGACCTGAGGAATCCCACTGTCTGCAGTGCAAGAAAGGCTGGGCCCTGCATCATCTCAAGTGTGTAGGTAAGTGGGGAACACTGGTGGGGCCTGGACTTGACTCCCTGGCCTATACCAGTACCATCCCATTCACATGAACCCTCAGCCTGGAAAGGCAGCAGAGGTGTTCACAGTCCAACATGACCTGCGCGCAGCAGAGGATGCACGCCCAGGCCAGCTCAGCGCAGGGCAGTGATGAACAGGAAGGCCTTCTTGGAAGAGGTGCTACTTTGGCCAAGTCTTTTTTCTTTTCCCCACTTAAGTTTTTTGAGACAGGGTTTCTTTGTGTAGCCCTCACTGTCTTGGAGCTTGCTTTGCAGACCAGGCTGGCCTCGAACTAAGAGACTCCTTTGCCTCTGCCTTACCCTTTATTTATTTATTTTTTTAAGATTTATTTATTATTCAGTGTTCTGTCTGCAAGTATGCCTGCATGCCCGAAGAGGGCACCAGATCTTATTGCAGATGGTTGTGAGCCACCATGTGGTTGCTGGGAATTGAACTCAAGACCTCTGGAAGAGCACAAAGTGCTCTTAACCCCTGAGCCATCTCTCCAGCCCTTGCTGAGAGATCAGCAACCAAATCTTACAAAAACAAAACAACAACAAAAATCCAGCGTGGGCTCAGTAGTGAGATGACTCAGCAGTTAAAGGTGCTTGCTGCCAAACTGAAGACCAGAACCGAATCCTGGGACAAGGATTAGGTACAAGGAGAAGGGCAGCTCCAGCAGGTCGTCCTCTGATTTCCAAGTGTGTGCTGTGGCATGGACGCACCCACACACATGCACATTTGCGTATATACATGAAAACGATAAATACACTTTGTTCTTAAAGAATGACAAGAATTGAGGGGGCTGGAGAGATGGCTCAGAGGTTAGGAGCACTGACTGCTCTTCCAGAGGTCCTGAGTTCAATTCCCAGCAACCACATGGTGGCTCACAACCATCTGTAATGAGGTCTGGTGCCCTCTTCTGGCTTGCAGGCATACACACAGACAGAATATTGTATACATAATAAATAAACAAATATTTAAAAAAAAAAAGAATTGAAAGCCAGGTATAGTAACGTATAGGATTTAGCTCTGGAGTAGTGGGGGCAGGATTAGAAGTTCAAGGTCATCCTTGGAAGCACAGTAGTCGCAGGCCAGGTTGGGCTGCATGAGACCCTGTCTCATAAACTAAAGAAGTTTTTCCTCATATAAGTCTTGATGTGAGTGGTGCAGATTAGCAGTGTAGCTGTCCTGTCAGTCACTCGGGGACCCAGGTCCCCTCTATCTGTGGCATACCCTTGGATATAAACTGTTCGGATGGTGCTGAGTCATGACCATCTCCCGCTTCTGTCTCAGCACTCAGGAAGTCAGAAGGGGCTGGTTGTGTTAAGGCTAAGGTAAAAGTAGACTATGTCTCTCCCATCTCCATACCCGTCTGCGGGCTGAGCTTAGCTACATACAGAGCAGACAGACTTGCGTCTCTGACTGGGCAGTGCTAGTCCAGCTGCCGGATTACTTCAGAGTTGGCAGCCAGCTTGCGGTTGCTCCCGCACTCGCGATCACAGGCAAGCCCACTCCTGACAGTCCTGCCTTCGTTTCTCTGCAAGTCCTGCAAAGTGACACTCCTGACCTTGGCCCTCTCCACAGACATCGACGAGTGTGGCACAGAGGAAGCCACCTGTGGAGCCAACCAGTTCTGCGTGAACACAGAAGGCTCCTATGAGTGTCGAGGTCAGTGTCCACTGCTGAAGGACAAGGCTGGGGTGGAGGAGAGGGACAGGAGATGCTGCTTCATGCCTGTCCCTCCAAGCTTCTGCCTTCTGAGACTCCAGAGCCCTTAGCTGCCTGAGATCACCTCTGCCTCCCCTCCCCTCCCCTCTGCCCTCTCCAGATTGTGCAAAGGCCTGCCTGGGTTGTATGGGAGCAGGGCCAGGCCGCTGCAAAAAATGCAGCCGTGGCTACCAGCAGGTGGGCTCCAAGTGCCTAGGTGAGTTTTATGCCAATGGGGGCTGGAGGGTGGGAGAGGCAAGGGAAGGAGAGATACCACATTGAGTCTGGGTGGGAGTGATATGCAGTCTGGGGTGCTGTGCGGGAACTCGGGGCAGTCAGCACTGTGACCCTTTCCCACCTCCCCCAGATGTGGATGAGTGTGAAACGGTGGTATGTCCAGGAGAGAACGAGCAGTGTGAGAACACGGACGGCAGCTACCGCTGTGTCTGTGCTGAGGGCTACAGGCAGGAGGAAGGTGTCTGCTTGAAGGAGCAGATTCCAGGTAAGCAGGGAGGGGAGGCTGGGCTGGGCTGACCCGGTCCAGCTTGCAGACAAGCTCCCCCTCCAGGCCCCACTTCACCAACACCCAAAGAGGCTGTACCTGGTCCCTGTGTATGTTTTCAAGGTTGGCTTTTGAGACTGCATTTCCTCACATCCCAGGTAGAAAGAGAGAACCAGATTTGGCACCAAAACACTCCGCCTCCCTAAGCCTGTTTTCTCCCGTCCAAAGGGACCAGTCCTCTGCAAAGCCTTGGGCAGCCCCGCCACTTCCCAGCCTCTTTCAAGCTTAGGGTAGCAGGGTCTCAGCTGCCCCTGCAGAGGCTTTCTGAGTAGTGAGTGATGCCGTGTGCTTGGTGAGCCAGGTGGGCTCAGCAGCAGTGATGAGGTGGGGGGGGGGGGGGGGGCAGTTTGCTCTGGGAACTGCCAGGAACGAGGCACCGGCATGCCACATCTCCTCTGCAGAGCCGGCGGGCTTCTTTGCGGAGATGACGGAGGATGAGCTGGTGGTCCTGCAGCAGATGTTCTTTGGTGTCATCATCTGCGCTCTGGCCACGCTCGCTGCTAAGGGTGACCTGGTGTTCACTGCCATCTTCATTGGAGCCGTGGCAGCCATGACTGGGTACTGGCTGTCAGAGCGAAGTGACCGTGTGCTGGAGGGCTTCATCAAGGGCAGATAATCTCTCCTCCCACCCAGGATACCCCCAGAGGTCATAGCTCTCTCTCTCCTGCTGGACACCTGGGACACTATGGTTTCTCTTTGAGATTGGGGTAAACACCCTTACTGAGCAGCCCAGGACCCCAGTAGCCCCGGGGATTAAAAAGAAGCCCTGAAGTTGATGCCATGAGAACCTTGCCTAGGAGACTGGCAGGCATTACAGTGTGTGAATTTCAAAAGACAGTTTCTCCTTAGGGAGGTTGTAGGTTCTGACCCCTCCCGCCCAGGATGAGAGGTGTCCCCTTAGGGGTGGGGCCACCGTAGCCCTCCTCCCAGGTGCATGCTGCCAGCTCCTGTTGTGATTGACCCCCCACAGCCCAGCCATCGACTTATTTATTCATCTCAGGAAATAAAGGAAAGGTCTTGAAAACTGGAAACGTGTCAGTCTTAACTACCCATCACTGCTACCTCAGTGAAGTTTTCCACCCTGGGAAATCGAGGGCTGCCGAGTGGTGGGCAGGGCTGGAGAGATGGGTCAATCGGTAAGAGTGCTTGTTGCCCTAGCATAGGATCCAGGTTCAATTCCCAACATCCGTGTGGTGGCTCACAACCGTCCATCCTCCAGTTCCAAGGGATCAGACTCGGTCTTCTGACCTTCTCGGGTACACATGGTACACATATGTGTACACAATACACATATGCATGCAGGCAAAACATTCATACACATGAAATAAATCTACAGAACTTTTTAAAATTAAAAAACCAAAAGAAGTGGAGAGAGGAAGAAGAGAGATAAGAGAGGAACCAGCTTAGGAATTGGTCTTTCTGGATTGAATACCAGCTGTCAGTGCAGGATCCAAGTAATGCAGGACACCTCCAAACTTGGCTTTCTCCTAAAGTGCCGATTACAGGAGGTGGGGCTGCACCGTAGACAGATTTTAGTGAGGCAGTGGAGGTTGTGCCTGCCAGAGCCAGAGGCAACCTTCCTCAGGAAGGCTCTTGGTTCCTGTGGGTCAGGGCTTCCTGTCTCTCCTGTAAGGGTGTAGGATCCTGACTTGACCAGCGGGAGGCATGAGCCTAATCGGAAGGGTTTATTTCTTTGGCACAAAGAGGACAGTCAGTCTGGACAAGTGAGATGCATCTATCTCTCCACACTGGGGATCAGGAGTACCCGGTCCCTATTCCCCATGATCAAACCATGCACGTCCACCCTGTATTCCGTGTAACTCACGGCCTCTGTGCAAAATATGTGCTGGAAAAAAAAAGAATAGAAATATTAAAAAAGCAACAACAACAAAAAACCCGAGTCTGGTGAATTCAAGTCTTTCTGTCTCCAGGAGCTGCAGTCAGGTAGAGGTCCCAGAAGGCCAGTTTTTCAAATGCTCCACTGTCTTAGCTCGGCGACTTCATGTGGACATTGAGGGGAGGGTCCAGGTCCTCCCTGGCAGTCAGAGCTCTATGGTGTCACTGGAGGCGCTGCGAGATTCGCTGGTCTTGCAACGCTGTTGGCCCTCACTCTGGGGCTCCCCGGCCCGGGCAGGAATGGGGTCTGGGGTAGGAGCTGGCAGCAGCTGCACCGTGCTGGGCAGCTCATCGAGGGGCAGGCTGTCCACGGATGACAGCCCGTGACGCCACGGGTTCCAGCTGATCTTGAGCGAGCCCTTGGAGAAGCTGTCCAGGGAGCTGCCCGAAGTCCCCGCGGCCGCCGCGCTGCCGGGCGGGTCCACCACATGCTGCGGGAGCGACTTGCGCAAGCACACCTCACTGAGTGAGCGGCAGCGGCCTCGGAGCTGGGAGGCGCCCGCACCGTCGAGCTCAGCGTCAGGCTGGCTGCCGCGGCGGGGTCGCAAGGCACCCCCTGACGGCGGCGAGGCCAGGCCACGGAGGCCACAGCGGTGGAACACACTGTCTCGGACCAGGTGCTCCCGGAAGAGCGCGGCGTCGATGCTGCGGCTCAAATTAATGGGCGAGGGTGGCCGCAGATCCAACTCGCTCAGCGACGGCGCAGGCCCTACACTGCCGCGGGACACCCCGGGGCCATTCAGGCGACCGCGACCCAGCGATGCAGCCGAACCCCAGGGTCCAGAACCAGGCGTGGCGGGAAGTCCACCTTCCGCAGCATTCCGAATGAGGCTTTTGCTGATGTCCAGGCCGCCTGTGGCCAGGCCACTGGGACCCGCATAGCAATTATTTGGTCTCTCGGGCACCTCGCTCTTGCCCGTGGGAGCGGGACAGGCCAGGCGTAGCAGCTTAGCCCAGCAAGCGTGTTCCGTGGGCGGCCTGGGACGCGTGGCGGCCAGGGCGGCCAGAGCCAGGGCTAGGGCCCAGGTCAGCTCCAGTAGGCGTAACCAGAAGTGCACACCCCACCAGGCCCAGGAGAAGCGACCCTCCCGGCCAGGCCCTGGGTACAGCCAGAGAGAGGCTGCTAACTGCAGACCACTGGCCAGCAGCCCCAGCGAGCCCGCCACAGCCAGCAGCCGTGGGCCTGGACTGGCATCCCAGCCCCGGGGGCCTTCTAGCAGGCGGCGACGGCACAGGCAGAGTGTGCCCAGAGCGACAGATGCGCCCCAGGCACAAGATAAGCCTTGCATCAGGAGGTTGAGCACAGGCCTGGTAGAGAACAGGTCTGTGGCCAGCAAACCTGCGGCATGCACCGGTGCCACGGCTCCCAGCAGAAGCGGCTTCTGTAGAGGCTGTGGCAGCCCAGCACCCAGGCCTAGCAGAGTGAGCGCTGCCAGTGCAGTGAGTAGCAAGGGGAAGGGCAGGTTGTATAGCACCAGGCCAGCACGTACTCCCAGCCGTGCCTGAGAGCCGTAAGGATCGGTGAGCATGTAGGTAGATCGCAGCCCTGAAGCCACCAACACCAGCACGGCAGCCACTAGTGCCAATCGGGGTCCCGCTAGAGCAGCTGCCAGTGTAACCAATGCCAACAATGCTGGAAGCAGGAAAAGCACCCCTACCCCATAGACATGAAGCTCCCAGGAAAAACTCAGCACCCGCCGCAGGGGTCCCCAACGCAGGGGAGGTGCAGTGGCATTGGCTGGGGGGCTAGAAGCTGGGGCTGGAGCCATGGAGCTGGTTGAGGGCTCCGGAGGGGGTGGTTGGCCCAGAGCTCTCTGTGTGGTGACTCTAACAAGGCCTCGCCGAGATGTCGAGGGGGCCTGGACAGGGGGTGCTGGAGGGTGGCTTTGTGGGCGACCCGGCCATTCCTCGGCTTCATCTGCAATAATAACAATATTAAAAGGGTTCCCCGGGAAGTGCTGTTGAGAGCGGGCTGTGGGGGCTCATGACTGCTATAGGAGGCAGGGGCAATCAAGACTTTAAAGCAATCTTCAGCTACATAGTGAGTTCAAGGACAGTCTAGGCTACTTGAGACCCCCATCTCAAACAAACAAACAAATAGGAAACAACAACAACAGAATCCCAAACACACAAAGTGCTTTTGATTTTTCCATATTCAAAACTGTAGTTAGTAGATTAATTTTCCAAGGACAGCTGTCAAATGAAGATAATATAGCACCTGCCACAGTCATTGGGTCAAGACTAAGGCACAATGTCTAGTTTGGTTCCCACTGGCTAGCAAAGACAAGACAGACATAAACTCCCTTTCTTCCCCTTTTGTGGGGGGGGGGGTGGGTGTGGGGTGGGCGGTGCTGGGAATTGAACCCAAGACCTTTCCTATGCCAGGCAATAACTCTACCGCTAAGCTGCATCTCCAAGCCCTTGGCATTTTTTGATTTTGAAACAGTCTCTATGACCCTTGAACTCAGTACGTAGTTCAGGCAGATCTCGAACTTGTGATGCTCTTGTCTCAGCATCCGGGGTGCTGGGGTTCCAGGTGGGATGGAGGCTGACTGCACAAGCTACGTCCGTGTTGCACAGAAGAGCACTCTAGTTCAGCAGAGCCAGTGTCTGCTCCCGGAGTTCCCAGTGAACTCTGGTTGATTTTTCTCAGCCACTCAGAGACGGTCCTAGCCAATGCCTGTAAGCAGGTGCTTTTCTCCACTTAGCCCCGGGCCCTCCGCCCCATCACTAAGCACATGTTCTTGGTAACTCTCCCCTCACCCCTAGCCATGGCCTCACCTGGCTGCAGGGCCCTCGAGGGGCTCTCTGTTCCATTTGCAGTTTGAGCAGAGTTCGGGAGATCAGGGATGAAGGACTTGGGGGTTCCTGGAGCCTCCATGGCTCCTCTCACTCGCTGTGGGGAGATGGGATCTGCTCCGTTCATCGAGGCTATGGCTGAAACGGCAAGAATAGTCACCACCTTGTCTGACTCTCAAGCATTCCTCCGAAGCCAGTCCCTCAGGAGGAAGGCACCATCACCCTAACTTGTCAGAAGGAGGGAATGACACCCAGAGTTACACCTAGCTGTCTGGGACCATCGCTCCTCACGACCCCACTCAGCCCCCTCATGGTGGTACCTACCTACTCTTAGCTGCTCATCAGAAGTGTCTGAGGTTGAAGGTGGTATGGACTGGGGTGCTGAGGAGTCTTGTCCACCAACGAGGTCAGTCTGCTCAGGTTGGGGTCCCAGAGAGCTGACTTCCCAGGCATCCCCAGCTCCCTTTTGGGGGGGCTCAGCTGGCAGCTCCTCAGGAAGAGGAAGGCTTCTGGTCAATGCCAGGTCTCCCTGGGCTCCAGGCTCTTGAGTGGATGCTACCTCAAGTGGGGGTAAGCCAACCTCAGAGGCTACTGGATCCTGCTGGGTGAGTAGGGGGCCCTGGACAGCCTCCTGGAGATCCTCTTCATGCCCACCCTGCTTTCCCAGCACTATCCTCCTCCTAACATCTGTCTCAGGTACCGGAGTGTGGGGAGAGTCCTGGTAGTCCCAGGGGAAAGCCTGTGGGAAGGGGGTCTTGGTTTGGGCCATTAGATCCTCATTCCTAGCTGGCTGCTGTCCTGCTGGGCCTTCAGGCTTCTGCGGGGCAGTGGAAAGTGTGGCTATCCTGAGTTGAGGGCTGGGAGTTGTAGCAATGAAAGTGAGATGGGGTGCTCCCGCTGGGTGGGGGGCAGGTGCTTCTGGCTCCAGAAGCTCCTGTGAGTCAGGAGGTCCTGTCCAGCCTTGGGAGGTAAGCCCCCGGACCAGCTGGAGATCATCCGTTATTAGGAGTCTTTCACCCTGGCCCCCAGGGGCTCCTTTGGGTCCACGCAGGGCTGGTCCTAGGGGAGAGTCTGCAGGCCTCTCGGGGCCATCAGCAGGGGCCTGGGGGATACCACTGTGCCAGGAACTCTCATTTCTCAGCTTCTCCCAGAAGAGGTCAAAGGTCTGTGGCTCTGATGGGATCAAGTGGGGTTCTGAATTGTCAAGTGGCCTGGGAAGGCCTCTGGCCAAGGCAGGGCCAGCCCCCAGGCATGGCAACAGGGAGAGCAGAAGGAGATGACATGCAGAGCCTCGGGAGCTAGGGGCCATGGTTTAACTCGACGCCTGAGTGT